TGGAAGCTGAGTTGAGGGAAAACTTGGTTGATAAGCTGACTCACCAACTAATTCTGAACCATTGCCAAGCAGCACCGACGCCACTATCTTTCTATCAATAGTGCTAGCCCCAACTGTCAGTATCCACGGACCGTCATTGGCTAATATGCTGGCTGTGGGCCCCTCATTGGCAACTGCAGCACAAGGAACAATCCCTTTTGTCATAGCTGCGAATGAACCAACAACAACCGGACTATTAAAGAGCTCGAGCTTGACGGCCCCCAACGACATTTGAAGAATATCAACTTGGTCACGAATAGCTTGTTCTATACCCGCATAAATATCGGAATCAGTGCCCACAGAGTGGCCCGATGGACCGACAAATAAGACTTTGTAGATCGCCAGATGAGCGCGCGGGGCCATTCCGGAGGCCGTCCCTTGCGCCTGCCCAATCACATTGGCGTTGTTAACGAAATTCCCAGCTGCGGTGCTCGCCACGTGGGTGCCGTGGCCATCATTATCATATGGGTCGGAGTACCTGCCATAGTGGAAGGCAATGGCACCAAGAAGCTTTTTGTTGCAAGTACGCGTGTTTCCCCAGTAGCACTTGCCGTTCCATTTGGGTGGAGCAGGAGCCATTCCATTGTCGTTGAAGGAAGGGTGGTAAGGGTTGATCCCGCTATCAATGACACCGATGATTTGGCCAGCACCCATGGAAGAGTCATACCAAAGTGTGTTCGATGGCTTGCCTTTGAGGGAGAGGAAGGTGGGGGTGTAGGTTGTGGAAGCATGGTGTTCCTTTTCGGGGTAGGCGTTGATGAAGCCATCGAGCGATTCCATAGCTTCGACTTCTTCAGAGTTGAGGTGGGCAGCGAAGCCGGTGATGACTTCGCGGTAGGTATAGACCATGCGTGGTTCACCAGAGGCAAGGGTGGCATTTGGGAGGAAGGAATTGTACCAATTTTTCAGCTCACGAAAGCGAAGTGAGCGGTTAGAGCCGCGGGGAGGCTTCTCCACATGAACTATGTAGATAGGGGTTTTGGTGGGGTCGATGCCACCACCTTCGTTGGTGATGGGGAGGAGTTGGGAATAGACTAGTGGAAATATATTAGGTGAGAAGAAGAGGAAGAGGAGAATAAGGAGGTTGAGGATGGTAGTGCCCATGAATATCGAGATTATCAGTACTTGAAAGACAAAGTGACTTGTATGATGCCTCACAGCCAGAAAGCTTTATATAGCCGATAACAAGCTAAAAAATGGCATCTTTGAGGAAAAAATAATTAAAGTGCGCCATGACAAGACCAAATGATGGAGTTATTTATAATAAGGGCTATTGATTACTTAATAAAGCTACCTTTTTTCTTGGAATACAATGCTTCCTATGACTTAGGGTGCAGTGTCTATCCTCAATGCCGAATTTATTGAACTTGAAACTCATTGCCAAATTTCATAGCCACATGCATTATCACTTTGTCTATTAATATTAAATCCTGTGGTATATATTTCCTACATATCACTGCTTCGTATTTTACTGCAGGCAATACGTCTCTTCTTTGATTTTCTGTAGCCACTTATCCTCGTTTTCCATTGCTCCATTGCTTTTTAGCTGTTGATAAAATTTTTCACTGTCTCTTGATTAAGTTCTTTTTACTTTTAGATCATTTTTTATTACTTATTTTTTATAAATAGTTTTGTTTAGTGTAATTTTTAATGATTTTTTTTAATTTTTTATCTTTTAAATAAATCAAAATATTTTTAAAAACACTTAAAATAATATATTTTGGTGCTTTGTATACTTTTAGAAATGGCTATCATTACCGATCACTTGCTGCAACCATCATTGTATGTTGTCGTTGTCATTGCAGGTGATAGGGGTGCAACCGAGTCAAGCCGGCTCGCGAGTCGGCTCGAGCTCGACTTGACAGCAGGCTCGACGAGTCGAGCTTATCGAGCTGGCGAGTTGAGCTCGATAGCTTATCGAGCTCAAGCTCGAACAGTCAATTGATCGACTCAAGAGCTCGTCGAGCAGCTCGCTTGGCGGGGGAAAAAGAAATTGTCTCGAAAATATGAAATCAGGGAAACGCCACAGACGTGGGAAAAAGGATGACGGGCAGAGACGCTCACAGCGACGACGGACGGGACCACACAACGTAGGAGTCAGCAGAGATCTCCCGCAACAAGATCTTATCGGCGGGCCCAATGCTTGCGCCGCCGAAAGACCTCCGAGTCGGATCTGGGAACCCTGGGGTTCTAAGCAAGAATAACATGGGAGATTAATGCTTTGTTTGGGACGGCTTTTTTGTTGCTTTCTACAACGGAGTTTTAGTACAAAATAAAAAAATTTGTACTAAAACTCCGTTTTAGAAAGCAGTAAAAAAACCGTCCCAAATGAAGCCTAAGAGAGATTCTGGCAACGCACCGACTGGGAAGCCATTGTGGAGCCCCAGTAGGAAAGCAAGGCAGACGAACAAAACAAGCTGTAGGATCATCAGAGCGAGCCATTTCCATCTCCACTGCTTCGCCGCACACGATGAAGTCGTCGTCATTGCCTCGTGGCATTCCATGTCCTCCTCCGGCCATCTCCGATCAAGAACTGCACTATCTTGACAGATCCGAAATGGGCGGTATCTCCCGCATCTCCATCACTTTGTCGTCCAAGCTCATCCGCTAGCCCTTCGACGACGAACGGCAGAAGCGAGCGGACGACAGACGCGGACGCGAGTAATGAAACGCGAGCAACGACGGACGCGGGCACGCGAGCTCGAGCTCGAGCTCGAACAGCCGCTCGAGAACTCGACGAGCTTTTTTTTTTTTTCTCTGTCGAGTCGAGCTCGACTTTTGAGCTGGACTCGAGTTCTAGCTCAAGCTCGAGCTCGGCATTTGATTGACGAGCTCGGCTCGAACAACCCTTGACTCGAGCTCAACTCGACTCATTTGCACCCTAGCTGATGACAACCACCACTTTCAATGCCATGGGCGTAGGGAGGGGGTGCCCCCCATTAAAAAAAAAAATTCATTTATATATGTCTTCTTCTCTCTCTTTCAAGCGTATTTCTCATGTTTAAGCAATAGTATTTCTTAGGAAATATTTTTTCCATTCACATTTGCTTAGGCAATGAGGGACACCATGCAAAAATGTTTTCAAATTATTTTAGTTTTTAATAAAAATGGTTTTTTAAATATTAGTTATTTCATGAATATAATGACCTTCACTTAAATCTTAGTGATTTTAGATTAAGATTTATTAGGTTAGTTTAATGATTATAAAATAAATTTTAATCATACATACATATAAAAATTCACTCATAAAAATATATAAATTTTAAATTTATATATGCATTTCGCCTCCAAACATGGAGGCCGTCCGGTAGTAAGACGACAAACAAAACTATTTTAATTTAGCCCCCGCTCCCCGCGGAATAAAATTTCTGATTCCGCTACTGTTAAATGCCCACCACTGGCCTCTTTAGGTTGTTATTGTCCATAGTTATCACTATTCTGCTAGCGACTGCAACCACCATTAGCAGCCATCAATATCCGCTAATTCCAACCGATGTTCGTCGTCGGCTACCGTCCTCAATCATAATAGATGCTTTCTTTTAATTATCATTATTGTTTATAATAGATCAATGGCTATATATGCCGTCCATCATTGCCCACCAATGAATAGAGTTGACATTCCTCATACTCCATTCCCCAATCACCCTAGCTCCTTGTCAAGTAATTATGTCAACTCTAGTGACAAGAAATGTTGGGCATTGTAATTTTAACCTATATACTCTATTAATTCAACAAACCAAGGCCTCATGGTTATTTCTATTTGAATCAAGTTTTTCGGGTGATTACTATGATATTTTCTAAAGGTTCATAATAAAATTTTTCATATATTTATTATTTCTATTTTAACTAGGGATACAAATAAATTGAATTTGAGAGTTTTTTTACTAGAGCTTGAATTTGACTAATTAGTCTAGTTAGTGCTTAAGCATATTTTTATAAATTTTAGTTGGTTCATTTGATATAAAAGATAGAAGACAATTTTAATTAAAATAACTATTGAAAAAAAAAAAAGAAATAAGTTGAGATAAAGAAGAGAGATCAATTTTTAAAAACAATATTATATTTTATATTAATAATATTTATGTGAGACAAATCAAGATTTAAGTCACCCTATCTCAAACATATATGAATCTCTAGTGGAATTTGACTTATAAGTTATTTATCAAGTCAAAGTTAAGATCATTATTTAGGCTATATTTGTGATAGGTTTAGGCCCGTGCTTTTTTCTTGTTTTTAAGATATTTTTTTATCAAAAGTCGTTTTACAAATTAATAAAAAGCCATCCAAAATGAAGTCTTAGGCTTCGTTTGGGACGGCTTTTTTATTGCTTTCTAAAACAGAGTTTTACTACAAATTTTTTATTTTTTATTAAAACTTCGTTTTAAAAAGCAGTAAAAAAAGCCGTCCCAAACAAAGCCTTAGTTTGACTGAATAAAAAAAATTAAAAATGATTTTTTATTGTGCATTTGTCTTCCTTAAAGCAGTACTAAGTCTTAGAAACTCAAAAAATTTGTTTCTGCAGCCACTAAAAGATCAAATGTTGTTAATGTCGTACTGTACAACACTATGAACTTGCTAGGAAGGAGGATTAAGAGATCTAGCTCAGTTCGATTGGCTAAAGGTCTCTTTTAGGGTTTTGCCTATTTATTTTTCTGGCAATCATAGATGGGTCTATCGATCAAAATAATAAATATAAGTTATCTTTATTGAAACGTTTATTATAGTGTAGTCCCATTTAAAAACCTTAAAAAAAAGAAAGTACATATTCATCAAAAGTCAAAAGAACCTTTTTTTTTAATGAAACAATAAATTGAAGGCATATTCCAAACAAATATTTATAAATAATGATTAATTGCCATGGATATATTTTGTATTATGAAATTTTAAATCATTATTACATTAATAAGTCGATGATATAATTACTTTATCTCCTGCAACACACACGTTGTACTAATTTATTCTCAAACAAATGTAACTGTGATCGGGCTACTAGCATAATATTTGTCGGAATCCCAACTCAACTGCCCATCCTTCACCTCCCCAGCCACCGGCAACGGCAAACCGCCCTTTAAGCTAAATTTCACTTCATAGCTCTTCTCCTCCCCCACTTGGTTAAATTGCAATGTCGTCGGACTTACCTCAACTCTTACCCCCTTCGGCTCCTCCACATCCACATTATAAGTTGACATTGCATCTCCAACATTCGTTACTTTCCTCACCACCTTCACCTCAGGCGTGCTCCCTCCAATACTCACACCAAAGGATGGATAGTTAAGCTGCTCTGGAGCTATTGCTTTCACATTTGCGCAATTCACCACCCCCTTTATGATCATTTGTACTTTATAGCTCGATTTATAATATCCGCATAGGTAATGTACATAGTCATAGTAATTTAGCTCATATATAATCCCAGGGTTCCTCGCTGCTTCTGGATTAATGTGGCCGGCTCCTCGCTCAAACACTGTAGCTGGATTGCCATCAAATTCATCAGTGATTGGATTCCCTTGACGATTAAATGTGTATGCGGTGGTCATAATCGCTGATTTGATTGCTGCTGGTGACCAGTTCGGATATATGTTTCTCAACAATGCCACCACACCTGACACGTGCGGGGTCGCCATAGACGTCCCACTTAAAAAGTTGAATATGGATCCAGTGACCCCCACAGGCCGTGGCCATGCAGCCAAGATGTTGACCCCTGGTGCAATCACATCTGGTTTTATGATCCCGCCATTTGCTAAGCTCGGTCCGCGGGATGAAAAGACGGCAATAGCTGGAGCTGAGTTGATTCCAAATTGGGTCCCACCAAATTTTATCGCCGCAGTTGTGTTATTCGTGTCCTTATAGTAATCTACAATGACCTTTGAACCAGTGTTGTTGAGATGCGAGGTAGGGAGCTCATGTACAAAGGCATTGGTAGTCTGTCCCGCCATCTTGTGGTTGAGCAAAATCATGGCGGCACCGCCTGAATTCAACACATTACGGCCTCGCACATCATCCTCGATGTCAAAACGAAAGCACGTGACAATTTTACCCTGAAGATTTAATTTTTTAAGCTCTTTTAAATTACAACCCTGGGAATCAGGTGTTCTAAGTTGAAAAGCTGGGAATGAGAGTGGAAGCTGAGTTGATGGAAAACTTGGTTGATAAGCTGACTCACCAACTAATTCTGAACCATTGCCAAGCAGCACCGATGCCACTATCTTTCTATCAATAGTGCTAGCCCCAACTGTTAGTATCCACGGACCGTCATTGGCTAATATGCTAGCTGTGGGCCCGTTGTTGGCAATTGCAGCACAAGGAATAATCCCTTTTGTTATAGCTGCAAATGAACCGACAACAACCGAGCTATCAAAGAGCTCGAGCTTGGCGGACCCCAGCGACATTTGAAGAATATCAACATGGTCACGAATAGCTTGTTCAATACCAGCATAAATATCAGAATCGGTGCCCACAGATTTGCCTGACGGACCGACAAATAAGACTTTGTAGATCGCTAGATGAGCGCGCGGGGCCATTCCAGAGGCTGTCCCTTGTGCTTGCCCACTCACATTAGCATTGTTAACGAAATTCCCAGCTGCGGTGCTCGCCACGTGGGTACCGTGGCCATCATTATCGTACGGGTTGGAGTACATGCCATGGCGGAACGCAATGGCACCGAGAAGCTTGTTGTTGCAAGTACGCGTGTTGCCCCAGTAGCACATGCCATTCCATTTGGGTGGAGCAGGAGCCATTCCATTGTTGTTGAAGGAAGGGTGGTTAGGGTTGATCCCAGTATCAATGACACCGATGATTTGGCCAGCACCCATGGAAGAGTCGGACCAGAGCGTATTCGATGGTTTGCCTTTGAGGGAGAGAAAGGTGGGGGTGTAGGTTGTGGAAGCATGGTATTCTTTTTCGGGGTAGGCGTTGATGAAGCCATCGAGTGATTCCATGGCTTCTACTTCTTCAGAGTTGAGGCGGGCAGCGAAGCCGGTGATGACTTCGCGGTAGGTATAGACCATGCGTGGTTCACCAGAGGCAAGGGTGGCATTTGGGAGGAAGGACATGTACCAATTTTTCAGGTCCCGAAAGCGAAGTGAGCGGTTAGAGCCACGACGAGGCTTCTCCACATGAACTATGTAGATAGGGGTTTTGGTAGGGTCGATGCCACCACCTTCGTCGGTGATGGGGAGGAATTGAGTGTAGACTAGTTGAAATATATTAGGTGAGAAGAAGCTGAGGAAGAAGAGAAAAAGGAGGTTGAGGATGGTAGTGCCCATGAATATCGAGATCATCAGTACTTGAAAGAAAAAATGACCTATATAATGCCCACAGCCAGAAAGGTTTATATAGCCGATGACAAGCTAAAAAAGGGCATCTTTGAGGAAAAATAATTGAAGTACGCAATGGCTAGACCAAATGATGGAGTTATATTAAGGGCTATTGATTACTTGATCAAAATACCTTTTCTCTTGGAATACAATGCTTCCTATGACATAGGGTGCAGTGTTTATCCTCATAGCCGATTTTCTGCAGAACTGGAAACTCATTATCACTTTCTATAATATTAAATCCTGTGGGATATATTCCACTGCTTCATATTTTACTGCAGGCAATACGTCTCTTCTCCGATTTTCTGTAGCCGCTTATCCGCTTTCCATTGCTTTTTAGCTTTTGAAAATCTTTTCACCGTCTCTTGATTAAGTTCTTTTTAGATCATTTTTATTATTTATTTTTTAAAAATAGTTTTTTAAAGTGTATTTTTTATGATTTTTTATTTTTTAAATAAATCAAATTATTTTAACAAACACTGAAAATTAATAATATCTTTTAGTATTTTGTGTATTTTAAAATTGAATATCATTACGGACCATCTGCGGCAACCCCCATTGTCGTTGAAAATCATCACTGTCACTGCCCACCACCAGCCTCTTTCAATGATCATTGTCCATTGCTGCCACTATTCTGCTAGCAACCGCCACCATCGTCGCATAAATAAATAAAAATGATAATTTTTTTAAAATTTCAAATATCTTCCGTTTTATCTCAATTTATAAACAAAATAACGTAAAAGCAACCCCAAACGGCTCATTAGAGTACTCCTAATTTATTCCAAATAATGTATTCCTAATTTAAAGATATAATAAACAATTCTAAAAATAAAATAAAATACGACGAGACGAATCCAACAAGCCCAAGATCGCCGAATTCCAACATCATTAAGACCTTCAAATGTTTGACAAATGGTGCACGGTCAAGAGATTCAATATCGGCCGTCCATTCGACCACTCTCTATTTACCCCTGATCTTACACCTATTTACAAGCTATGACACTTCAAAATATCTATAAATAGACCCCTCATCTCTCCTGAGAGAGAACCCAAGCAAGAACGGAGGAAGAAGGAAGAAGAGAAGATTAGGAGGGAAGAAACTCCTCCTCGACCACCGCCGGGATTCTGCCAGACTTCCACGGGACGCCGGAATTCCATCTGACTTCCAAATGATGACGGGATTTCGTCCAACATCCAACTGACATCGGAATTCTGCTCGATTTCGAAATTCTGCCCGATTTCCAAGTGACTCTGGAGTTTTTCCCGAATACCATCTAACACCGTAGTTCTGCCCGACGCCCGAGTGACACCGGAATTCTGTCGGACACCCGAGTGACGCCAGAATTCTTCCCAAGTGACGTAGGAATTCTGCCCGATGCCGGAATTCTGTCAGACTTCCAAACGACGCCAAAATTCTGCTCAACTTCGAAACGACGCCGGAATTCTACCCGACCTTCTAAGGACGCCAATATTCCGCCCGATCTCCAAGTGACGCCGGAACTCTGCCCGAAGTTGTAACTGACTTTCAATTCTAAAGAGATTCGTTGTAATCTGATTGTCCTAAATTTTAAGGACGAGTCACCCTCTTGTATTTCAAACAAACACTAGTGAAACTCTTTCAACTGGGCGTGACCCCGTGGTTTTTCCCCTTTAAGGGTTTTCCATGTAAAAATCTTGGTGTTGTTATTTCTCCTATGTTTGTGTACTAGATATTCGTACAACACTGACACAGAAGTTTTTTAACTCTATCGCCGCGTATATTATATATATATATATATATATATAAATGGATAATTCATTAAATTTAAAAAATGAGGAAATGTAGGGGTGGTGGACCGCTTCTTGCAACAGAAATCATGAAATGGGGAGATAGGGAGGCTTAGGTGTCCAAATTAACGTAGTTGTCGTTCTAAAAATAAGCACAAGAGATCAATTATAAAAAGCAGATTAGAGCAATATTACTTCTTCTATCAAATACCATCGTACCATCAGTCGATCTTAAGTGATTCGTGATCTTCATAATTCCCAGCAGAACTTTTTCTTTTCCTTCTTCTTCATTCTTCTTCTTTCTCCACTGTTAGTAATGGCTCACGGTTGCCCTTACTTCGACCCTGACTACATTCCAGCCTCGGAGTACATTCCCCCGCTTAGGTAATTAATTAATCTTAATCGTGTTAGTTAATTTTCTGTGATTTATAAGATTAGTTTGTGATCGTTGGCTTATTCATATTCAATAAAGTTGATGAATGAACACAACTCTCCTTAGCCTATTGGTTGAGAGCTTAGGCTTGCAACTAAGAGGTCAAAGGTTCGAGTCCATGTGTATGCGTTGTATGTGTGAGTTTGCTTAAATGGCCTAAATGTCCCAAAAAAAAAGTTGATGAATGTTTTTTGTTGGTGTCAGGGTGTGCACCGATAATGATACATGCGACAATTGTACTCTTGTCGAGGTATAAATTAATTATATAAACTAAATTATACTTCTTGCACAAATTGTGTTTGTTTTTATGATAAAATTTGATTTCTTTGTTGTGATTGAATGCGCGCAGGTGGATGGCGCTAGTAGGCGCAATATTCTTTTGAAAATGGTACAGGTCCTAAGCGATTTGGACCTCATCATTTCCAAATCCTACATTTCATTTGATGGTGATTGGTTCATGGATGTCTTCCACGTCACTGATCTTCAAGGCCGCAAACTTCGTGAGCCCTCTATTATAGGCTACATACAACAATCTCTTGACATTGCACAAAAACTTAAAGAATCTTTTGGCCTCGCACGAGTAAAAATCTGCAACGGCAACATAGTCGGTGTCGACCACTTCACCTCCGATTGCAATGCCTTTGAAGTAACCTTCATTGATCGCCCTGGCATCCTCTATGATATCTCTACTGTGCTCTTCGAGCTCTCATGTGCCATGGACTTCGGTGAAGTTTGGGCTCACAATGGTCTTGTGGCTTGTATCCTCTACATAAAGGAACAAGGCACGGGTCTACCCATCTTGGATCGAACCCGCTTGACTTACTTGGGGGACTATATGGCAAATGTAATGGAGGCCCACCACTTCCCTGGTGAGCAATGGGGGGTACGGCTACGAAGCCCGACAGCTTGTCGGATCCACACAGAGCGACGGTTGCATAAGATGTTGCAACAACATAAGGATTATGATGTTGGACCACTTCCATTGCCAGTCGAGGATGATCAATTGAGCTTGACTATTACAGCCATGGTGACTAATAAAAGGTTTGGTTGTGGCAATATAGGAGTGGTGTTTCGGCCTCAAGTGTCTGTTGAAAGTTGGAGGGGGAGGGATTGCTTGGTTGTGAATGTCAAGAGTAGTGATAGACCTAAGCTGATGTTTGACACAGTTTGTGCTCTAACATATTTAAATTATGATGAATTACATGGCTCTGTTATCTCTCATGGATCAGTCGCAATTCAGGTAACTTGATTAATTTTGAATTTTGAATTTTGAATTTATGAATATGGATTGAAGTTTTAATTTGTCAATGCAGGAATACTTTGTGCGGCAAATGAATGAGTGCATGCTGATTAATGAGATGGAGAGACAAAGTTTATTTCAAAGTTTGGTGGCGGCTGTTGAAAGGAGAATGTCTCAAGTGAGTACAAGTCTTTGAGCTTTTCGAGTATTTAAAAAGAATGATATATATAGATATGTGTGTGTGTTTATTTATTTATTTTTGAAGTACAAGGGCTAAAGGTGGAGGAGCGCATTTTGGATCGTCACGGCTTGCTTTCAAAGATGAGTAGAGTATTAAGAAAGAATAGCCTACACTCAACAAGGCATCCTTCTCCAAGGAGAAAGACACGGCTATTGGCACTTTACTACATTATTGATGACTCGTCGTCCACCATTGATGCCAAAAATATTGATCAACAAAGGCTGGAGGCAGTGCGCAATGAGATTGATGGGGACATCTTCTTTGAAAAGAAGAATGATTATAGCATCAACTCACCGGTTCGTAAAAAATGGAGCCTATTTTCTATGTTCTATATTTTGGGGAGGGCTTTGTGGTCTCATGTTAAGCGCCTCTTCAACAATATTAGTTTCATTAGATAAATTTTGTGCATCTTTTTTAATTCTTAATTTTTTAGTTTTTTTTTCCAACTACTTGTAGTAGTTTTTAGGGTTCAATAGCAGCAAAATTGTCTCTTTATTCATAATCTCGGTAACTATATAGCCCACAGCTCCCTCTTAGTTAGAGCTCATTTATTCTTATTAATATTTCATAAATGCAAATTAAGCACTCACCTCCCATTCAAAAAAGAAAAAAAAAAATAAACAAAATCGTTTAATATCAGTGGTGCGATCGTCTCTTTTATCTTATAATCGTTTAATATAAAATTTGAATTAATTTAGTGGCAATTTGAATTTTGAAATGCATGACCGTTGGAACTTCCGCTAAATAAATGGCCGGGTGCTAATGCAAATCGAAACCAAGCCTGTATAAGTTATAATATAATAGCCCGATCAAAATTATTATTTTATTCATTAGAAAAACTTTATAATACTCATAATAATATTTAAAAATATTGGAAAGAGAGATTGAGCATAGATATGATGAGTTACAAATGCTTCTCAAAACCAATTTGGGTTCATGCCTATTAGGTTTATTATGGAAGATATACATTTATTAAGAGGTTTGATGGAGAAGTATCAAGAGAATAAGGAGGATCTACGTATAATATTTATTGATTTAGATGAAACTTATGATAAAGTTTTAAGAGACGTGCTCTAAAGAGTTCTAAAAAAGAAAAGAGTTAAATATGCTTATATTCAAGTCATTAAGGATAAATATGCAGTTGTTGTTACTTGTGTTGTATCAAAGATTAGCTCTAAGCCCATATCATTTTGCTTCAATCATGGATGTTTTTATTAGAGATTTGCAATAGGATTTGCCTATTGTATGCTTTTTGTTGATGATATTCCTCTTTTTTATGAAGCTAGAGAATAAGTTGAAGGAAAACTTGAATTATGGAGGTCAATTTGAGATTCTAAAGGTTTTCGTTTGACTACATTTAAAATCGAATATATGAAGCGTAATTTTAATTGAAATAGATCTAGTGGTGGGATTGTGACTTTGAACAATAAAGTCTTTAAAAATAGTATATGTTTTAAATATCTTGGGTCTATTGTTTAAAGTGATGGTGAAATATATGAGGATATTATTGTTGAATTCAAATTGGATGGTTGAAGTGGAGAAATGCATCGGGCCTATTGTGTGATAGAGAAGTACTCATACTTAAAAGAATTGTATAAGATGATGGTGAAACCTACAATACTTTCTGGTGCAGACTATTGTTCATTAAAAGAGAAGCATACAATTAATTGTTGTGATGAGGATGCACAAGTGGATAAGTGGTTTGACTCTCAGAGATAGAATGAGAAATGAGAATATATGTTAAAAGTTTGAAGTAGCTCCAGTGATAGAAAAAATTAGAGAGAGTTATCTTAGATGGTTTAGTGACATAAAACATTAGCCTTCTGGTGATCATGTTAGGATAGTAGATGTGTTAGATATGGCCTATGATAAAAAAGGTAGAGGCTGAACTAAAAAGAACTTAATTTGAAAGTATTAGAAATAATCTTTTTGTATTAGACTTAAATGAGAGTTTGACTCTTAATATGATACAATGGAGAAAAATGATTCAGGTAGCTGGCCCCAAATAGTATGATCAAGGCTTGATATTATTATTTTTGTTCTATAATATTAAAAAAATATATATTTTTAATAATAATTTTATAGTGAGTTTTAAAGACAATTATTCATTAAAGGACCCTATGTCAATACGTAGGAAAATGTGAGGCACAATTCGAGCATTTGATTACCTTTTATATTCATGATCTTTATTGAGCTATAACTATTACAATTTTGAATAATAATCATTTATGAATGAGACAAAAAAAATCCGTTTTCCTTAAAATTATGGTATGCAATGACAACTTTAGCCACATTTTTTTATTTTAATGTCATAATTAAAAAAAATGCGGCTATTAATTGTACTAATTAAAAATTTTAATCATATTCTTTAAAATGTGGCTAAATTTTACATAAATTTTTATTATAAGTTACAAAAAAACAGCATTAAAAAGGATAAAAAAAAGAATTTAACTGAACGAGTTTAAAATGGAAGTAACATTCTGATTTTCTAAGTTCAAAAATAAATTTAAAATGGAAGTAACATTCTGATTTTCTAAGTTCAAAAATTAAAATTGATAATTTCTTGGACTCAATTAAAATTTTGGTTAGAATATTTGAATTTAATTTTTAAGAATAATATAAAAAAAATTGGCACCTACTATATAAATATAATAGAATTTTGCTATATATGTATATAAGTTTAAATTATTTATAAATTAAAATCACAAAAATATTTTATCATTTAATTACAAAAAAATAAAAAAAAAAATCGCCTTACTCAATTTTTTGGCCAAATCTTCTCCGTCTATCTTTTTTGCTTGCAACCTGTGGCCTCAAAGTCTCTCGCCCGAATTATGGACAAGCTTCTCTAGATTTATTTCTCGACCCGTCTCCTCAACCTCTTCCTCTAAGCCTGATCAGAGAGATTCTCTTAGTTAAGCCAGAGAGATGTCGGTAAGAAACTACTCTTCGCTGATCTTTTTCATAAAGCTATTGAAAGCCTCTATATAAAGATTTAAACTATATTTCACGAGTGAGAGGCTGTCTTCCTTTCCGTGAGAAGTGGCGGGGAGCTCTTGGGATTTTCACCATTTTAGGGGATTTTCTCCATTAAAAAAAAGCAAGTTTGGCTTTGGATGCTCACTATTCCATCCACTTGTCTCCAAATCTCTGAGAAAAAAATGCTGATTTTGACTTTTTTGTTGTGAATCAGGGCATCAGGTTTGCTTAAGGAAGAAAGATTTGGTTTTTTACTTTGGTTCTTTCACTTCTGCATCTTATGGCTTCTTACGTGCTCAATGGGAAACCCCCAATGGGATTGGGTTTTGTTGGTTCTTCGATTCATGGCAAATCCAGTCTAAAATTAGGGTTTGTTTCCTTTGATGGAAGGAGAAGGATAAACATTTCTTCACCCAGATGCAGCATCTCCTCTTCTCGACCCGCTTCCCAACCTAGGTTTATACAGCACAAAAAAGAGGCGTTTTGGTTCTATAGGTTTCTGTCCATTGTCTACGATCATGTCATAAACCCTGGGCATTGGACTGAAGACATGAGGGATGAGGCCCTTGAACCTGCAGATCTTTATGATGCTAGGATGAAGGTTGTAGACGTAGGAGGAGGAACTGGATTTACTACACTGGGAATTATTAAGCATATAAATCCCGAGAATGTTACTATTCTAGACCAGTCACCGCACCAGCTTGCTAAGGCAAGGCAAAAGGAAGCTTTGAAAGAGTGCACGATCATTGAAGGTGACGCAGAGGAATTGCCATTCCCCACGGATTCTGTTGATCGATATATCTCTGCTGGAAGGTGAGATTTATATTGGCAGATTTGAATTGCATGCCCTTAGTTTTTTGTTATGATGAAAGTTTGTGATCTATGTTGCTGGTTTATTGATGGATCTTTCCTATTAATGTACTGATTAATAGCATTTTTTCCTTGGATATACAATTTTCTTTCTCTTATCATGTCCATTTATTAGGTAGAGTGGAAAACTTTTCTCTTTTTCTCATGCATGGCTCATCAGTGGTAGCATATAATCTGGAATAGAGAAGTAACTCAGGAGTAGACCTTGCATTGCCCAAGTATGTACTTCAAATGATTTAACTTAGATTGACAGGAAGTGCCGCCCTTAACAGCAATGGAGGGAAGGAAAAGAGCCATAAGTATGGTAATGAAGATGATGAAATTTGATACTTGGCTTTCTAGTATTGAAGATGATGATGAAATTTCTTTTCTATGAAGATTTGTTTATGATCAAACTCTTTTTTCAATTAAAGATTGGAAGATTTTTCTGCTTAGATTTTCGACATTGTCTATTTTACTTGAGCTGTAGGTAGAACCATTTTATTCATTGGAGTTTCAAGATTTGAAAACTAACCATCACAATTGTATTTCTGAGTCCAATCAAGTAAATCCGAAAATAACAAAAGCAATCTAAGCAGTACTTTTTGCTATTAAAGAACTTTGTTGTGTTCAACCATTAGAGATCAGCTTTATAATTCTTCCATTCATTCTTATTGAGTGCAACATGCTATATCAATTTTAGTTTTCACCAATTTTCTATATGGTTTAATTAGGCTTTCATTTCTGTAACTTTTTTCAAATCCTTTTTCAGTAAATGCATATTTTCATTTTATTAGAGCATCTTTTGTTGTACATTGTATATTCTCAAACAACCAAAAGGTCATTTTCTACTACCTTGTAGGTGGCACTCTCATTATTTTTGTAATATTATCATTTCTGATGGCATCTCCTTGCAATTTTGGCATGTATTTGTTTTTATATTTTCATTTCTACCTCATTAATTTGTTCTATGATTTACTATTTTGTTGCTTGATACTCAGATGCATGTAGCATAGCTGGTTGACTTTTACAAAAATGATTATCTCCATTGTTCTAGCAGATTTATTTTGTAAAAGATTTTGTTTATTATGACTCTGTTTGACTATTTTCTAATCATCTCCATATTCAATACAAAAAATATCATATTAATAGTGATATAATACAGTTTTGCTATAAGTTTTATTATAATTGAAATATGCTTGATCATTTGACAACTATTACTCAGCTCTTCACCTATTGGCGATCACAATATCAACTTTTGTGAAACTCAACCATATATCACCAATTTCCCACCTTAAAATTGTAGAAAATGTACTGTACTTTTGTTTCTAAGTATGCAAATTATCTGATTTTGTCGCTTCAGCATTGAGTACTGGCCAGATCCACAGCGTGGAATTGTAGAGGCATACCGTGTTCTTAGACTTGGAGGAATAGCCTGCATAATTGGCCCTGTATACCCAACCTTTTGGCTTTCTCGCTTCTTTGCTGACTTGTGGATGCTCTTCCCAAAGGAAGAAGAATATATCGAATGGTTTAAGAAAGCTGGATTTAAAGACGTGAAGCTGAAAAGAATAGGTCCAAAATGGTATCGCGGCGTAAGACGCCATGGACTCATTATGGGATGCTCGGTGACCGGAGTTAAAAGAGAATCTGGGGAATCTCCTCTGAAGGTATTATGTATTCTCCTGCAAGTTGAAGATGTTTTTTTCTATGTTCTCTTTTTTGTTCCGATTGATTTCTTATTCTTATATATGTTTTTGCATGTTTCCAACATGTAGAATAAAAAGTTAGGACTGAAAGCTTAAATTTTTTTATTTAGCCCGGGCAGATATGAGGATGATGGAATGAATATGTGACAAAATTAAAGATAAATTGATAACCTTTTTATATTAGAGCAATAGTGAATGTAGCATCTGTTGAAGATAAGCTGTGGAATATGGGTTGGTGGTTTGGACATATATAATGAAAAATAGAAATAGAAAGTGCGCCGAATAAATTAGTATCGAAAGATTAGGAAGAAAAAAAATGCAATCTCCCAGATAACATAGATTGAACTTGTACAAAATAGATTTGACACTTACGCCAAATAAGTAAGACTTCGTTTGGGACGGTTTTCTTACTGCTTCTTAAAGAAGTAGAAAGCTGGTTTAAGAAGCAGTAAGAAAGCCGTCTCAAACGAAGCCTAAGCAGGAATGAATAGAAAATGATGATTCATGAATTCAAAAGATAAGCCTAAAAGTTGTTAATTGTTATATAATTATTACAGGCCGGAAATTGGGTTGAATCCACTTAAATGCAATGTCACGTTTCATTTTTATTGAAGCTTTGCTGGATTTAATATAAAGTGGTCTTAAATGCAGCTTGGACCGAAGGCTGAGGCTGTTGAGAAGTCTGTGAATCCCTTTGCCTTTCTCTTACGTTTCATTTTGGGCACCGTTGCGGCTACCTACTACGTCTTGGTGCCTGTTTACATGTGGATTAAAGATCAGATAGTACCGAAGGGAAAGCCAATTTGAAGAAGAAGAAGAAGATGAAGATGAAGAAGAAGATGATGGTGAATGAGAGAGAGGCGGGAGGAGAATTTCCAGTAGGAGAACTATATTTAATGGTGTAAACTATTGTGTTAAGCTAGAACAGTTGGTTCTACTTGTCCTGGAGGTGTTGTTAGTTGCCATTTGTATTCCTAGTCTTTGGCACTCGAGAATTTGACTTCATTTAATTTAATAATTTTTGATGTAGCAACTATGAAGTTACATATTTTTTAGACGCTGGGCCTGGTATTAAGAATGTCATTATGTCATATTAAGAATTATTCTGTGTAATCCGGATGGGAAGAATCATCTGAATATGTGAGTATATATAGTATGTATACTCACATATTTGAACGATTTTTCTCGTCTGGATTCTGCATAGAATAATTGCTCCATATTTACATGTCAAACAATTTTTTAGGGTATGTTAGGAAAAGTTTTCTTATTTTTTTATTTTTCAGTCTACTATCATATTTTCATTGTTTTTTTGTTGCATTTTAAAAATTTATGATGAAAACTTTTTTTTATAGTAAGATATTCAATAGTGTAGGAGATAAAAAAATCAGTCTTTCTTTTTATAAATTATTTGCCATACCCAAGATACATTTCAACAAAATTATTTTTTCTATATTTTTAGGCTTCTGTTATATGTGCATTTAATTTTTTTTTTAATTGTGATGAAAAATTATTTTTTTATAATTATATATGATAATCTAATGGATTAGACGAGTGATAATTATAGAAAAAAATAAAAAATTGTGGTCTATTTATAGAAAAAATGTTAATGATACCCTTTATATACTTCAAATTATTATTTTTATAATTATTTTTAAAGATTATTGCTCTCAAATGGACCTCAATCTTTTAAGTTTTTTTTTTTTTTTTTTTCTAACTTGAGCCCACGTTCATCATATTTGCAATAATTAAAGTTCCTAACTAACAAATCAAAATGAACTTAAATATAAATTTGCTATCCTTACCTCTTCTCGAACCCAACGGTATAAAATTTTATTTGACATTTGTGAATCAAGATCTTCCAATAATAATTTGTCAATTGCATTACTAGTTCTGAAATTGAGTTCAAAGATTTGTCTAAAATTTTATTTTTGAAAATTGCATGAAAGATGAATTTCAGTTGTAGAAGCTACTGAATTAGCTTCAATTTTATGATTTTATTTTTTAAAATAATAACAAAAGTACAAAATTAATAAGAAGATAAATTACACTATTTTAACCAAAATTTACAGCTAATTCAGCAGAAATTTTCACAAAAAAAGGTGTTAGAAACCACAATGAAATTCACCTCTGCAGCAAGAAATTAATTTGTGCTGACACCAGACGATCCAGAGGCCAATCAGAAAGCGCCATATCACCTGATACACAGTGGTGCCAAGCACCGGTACCGAGCAAAAAATAACATGACACATTCTGATTATTCTCCAGCCATCCAGGTCCACAGAATAATTTCCTCTCAAAAAGCCACCATCTTTTTCAATCCTTGGTAATAATAATCATTGTAACAATGGTCTGTATCAAGTACAACATGATAGATTTAACCAACAAAATCCTGATAGAATCATGCTTAAAACCCAACAAAACTTGAAACAAACTTCAGAAACCATAAATAACATCTTACAAAATACAAACAATTGTAAGTTGATCTAAACGTGAAGAATGTAAACTCATTTGCCCCAAATATTCAAAGTTTGGATAAAACATATACTGAAACCAATAGAGTAAGATGAAATGCAAGCCTGGGCAAAAAGACTGGTGGTTTCAGGGTTCCCCATCTCCATAGGAAACCAGACCTTTGTGTCCAGCCGGACTGCTGGACCTGGACCTGCTTAGAGACGCTGCTTTCTTGCTCTTGCCTGCATCAGGAGACCTGGAGCGACTAATGGATCTAGATTTTGCTCTCCATTGAGGACTGGTCCTTCTTGGACCAAGACGAGATCGAAGCGCGCCACCAACAATTGGGCGATGCCCGCCTGCCGGACTTCGACTTCGGCTTCTCCTTGGACTCGAGCTCCGGTCGCGATTATGGCGCTGATACCTAGGACTGCGAGAATTGCTCCTGCTTCGCATTCTTCTGCCACGATATCTGGTAATTGAACAATGCAGCATATGTTACTTCTGTAGTATAATCAAACAAAAATATAACTTCTAATGTCAGTAAATAAATGGATAGGACTAAAAGTTATGAGGATGAGTATATCCTTAAAACGATCGCATCACCATGAGATAAAGCCATATTGCGTCAAATAATATTCGAACTAAACAAAATTACTGATGCAAGTTAACGCTAGGAAGTAGCTTTTCTGTTTTTATTGTTAAAAGTATTTCTCAATCATAGTTTCGGGCTTCGTTTGGGGGACAGCTTTCTAATGCAAATTTTTAGTATAATTTTTTTTAATTTAATTTTTTTATTAGAAAGCAATAAGAAAACTGTCCCAAATGAAGCCTCAATCATTACTCAAAATCAACTTTTCTACAACAAAAATTTAAATGCGCAATAAAAAATTTGTCCCAAATGAAAGTTTTAGTTGGGGACAACAATCACTTCTAAGAAAGTAGTTCATTGCAATGGAGGATCAAAGTGATAATTACAGCTTAATATTAATTCAATATTGGTATATACAAATAAACATGGGAAAATAGGCCAAAGGAAGAACCCAACATGCCAAGCAATTCAAGTAGAAGGAGACTGAACCGGCCGGTTCGACCAGTTGGATGGTGAATCAATCAATTGGCAGGTCCAATACATCAAATCAATTGAAACTGGCTTAAACCGCCAGTTCGATCAGGGAACCGGGAACCAATCCTAATTATAAAGAATCCACTTATTCAATACCCCTATTAAACATCGTTGATCAATAATCCAAGGGCTAAAACTTTTACCATAAATTAAAAAAATCAAATTTATTAATTTATAAAAGCTAAAAGGTTTATATCAAAATTCCACAACCCTATTCCCCCAAATCACCAAAATAAAAAATGGCTACCCTCCCTTGCGTGAAACGTTATTCACCCTCGCACTCCCTCCTTATCGGCGATCCTCAAACTTTATCATTGTCGGACATTTGACAGTGTGACATCCTCCTTAAACCACAACGATTCCACCCTTTTGCTTCGTATTTTTTATAATTATTGCACATATTATTTGTATATGAATTCTATTTATTATCATATATTTATATTATTGCAACATTATTACATCATTATTATATCATTTAGATCATATTTAAATATTTTTTAAATTTATTACATCACCTGATTCAACCCTAAGTTCAAACCCAATCGAATCATTAAACCTTAAACCTCTCCTGCTAATTTAAAACCAGGTAACCTTTAAGAGACAATTAACAATAGACCAATTTCAAGACTTTCACTGAGTTAATAGTATTTTGAATGCAAAATATAAGATGCAATTTTGCTAGTTTGTAAATAATACAAAATATTCATTAATTAACTGTTCATAGTGGCTCACCTACATATTCACTCGTAGTTTTGTCTTTATATTAATTGTAATGAGCAATGTTGTCATTTTCAAGTTTAGGATAAATTTGATTATTGTCAAATTTTATAGAATATTTTAATATAAATAAAAGTTTGATGGTCTTATAATTATTATTAATTTTCATGAAAGTTTATGTATCCAATATCGTTTATTAATTTTGAATTTTAAGATGAAGGGTTGAATATGAAAAATAAAGTAAAACGTTGTTCTATGATTAGATGGGGCCTTTAAAAAAGACAAATAATAATATTTTTTAGAGTAAGATTCGAGATCTTAAGATTTTGTCTGTGCATGAATAAGCTAATCTTATGTGGAAAAAAATAACTAGTGCTATTAAGAATGTTGCAAAGGATGTGCTTGGAGTATCAAAAGAAAAAACTCCAAATAATAAAAATAGTTGGTGGTGAAATCAAAATATGTAAAAAAAGTTAAAAATAAGAAACTTTGTTAGAAAAATTGGTTTAGATGTAAAAACCCTAAAAATTGAGAAAAATATTAAGAGACATGTAAGGAGTCTAAGAAAGTAATATGCAATGCAAATTTTAACTTTTAAGAATTTATATCATAGATTAAATACTAAGGTGGGCGAAAGATAGATGTATAAGTTAGCCAAATAAGAGATATGAGCAGTAAAGATTTAGTTCAAGTGAAGTGCATTAAGGATGTAGATTAAAAAATACTTTTATTAGAAGAGGATATTCAACAAAAGTAAATGAGATATTTTGCTAAGCTTTTCAATTAAGATTGTAAGAATATGAATAACTTTTGTGATTTTAGCATTCTAAATGAAAATAGATAGTTTTATTTTTATAGGCGTATTAGTAAAACCAAAGTTAAAAAAGCTATAAAAAAATGAAGTGTGGAAAAGCTATTAGACCTAATGATATTAAATAGAGGTGTGGAAAGGCATAGGAGATGAAGAAATTTCTTGGCTTACTAATTTTTTTAATATTATTTTGGAGACTAAAAAGATGTCAAATGAGTAGAGAATGAGTGTGTTGATTCCTATTTTTAAGAATAAAAGTGATGCACAATATTGTGCAAATTATAAAAGAATTAAATTAATGTGTCATACTTTAAAACTTTGGGAGAGAGTTATGGAGCATAGACTACATCGTGATACTATTGTTTCTCAAAATCAATTTGTATTCATGCTTGGTAGATCTACTATGGAAGCTATACATTTATTTAGAGGTTTGATGGAGAAGCATAGAGAGAATAAGGAGGATCTACATATGATATTTATTGATTTAGAGAAAGCATATGATAAAGTTCCAAGAGAAGTGATATAGAGAGTTCTAGAAAAAAAAGGGGTCAATACTGCTTATATTCAAGTCATTATGGATATGCATCCAGGAGCTGTTGTGTTCAAACATTGTGGGCTCCGAAAATTCCATTTTAGTGTTTTGTGATCCCGGCCTCTCCGCGTCATAGATCTATTTTTATTTTAAGCGTTTGTGTAATGATGACGGTAGAGAGTTTTAACGAGATTAGGTTCCGGAGGAATTTTCAGAAGGCAGATTGAGTTTTAGATAAGACACTACCCAGAGATTTTGCCCTCATTTGGTGAGGACTTTTTGATCTGAGTTCTAGTTTCCTATAGGCACAAGCCCTTATAGTTAATTACCCCTCCCGATTATAAGAGAGAACTTTCGATTAAGGCTAATCGTTAAGGAGATCATATGAATCATAAATCCAATGTATAATAACAACAATTTTAGGGTTTTGAATCTTAGATTTAAATTTTGAAGTTTGGAATTTGAAGTTTATCACCATAAACTTAAAACTGGTGGTGAGGGGAAAGAAGACGAGCCCGATCAAGATCCCATGATTTCGTCGTCCCGAGCTATCATGTTCCCTGATCTACTTAGTCAGAGGAGGTAGTTGACCCAACATGACAGAAGGCACCTTGTTGGCAGCTGTGAAAACCCGAAAATGCTGTTTTAGACCTCGCACGCTTTTCAAAGCGCCGCGACGAGTTTTAAGTGAAAAATTCAATGTTGTCGGATTTCGACGGGATTAATTTTATAAAATTCTACGCAAAATTCTAAGAAATTTGGTATATAAAACTTATATTTGATTTTGCTTAATTTAGGAAATAAAAATTAGAGAAGTTTCTTAATACCCAAAGTACCCCTAATGTTTATTCAAGCATGGGTTGTTTAAGTGAGGGCATAGAGGTCTTTTGGCATTTTTCCTTCCTCTCTATTAAGCAAACCGAGCCTCCCCCACTCATATCACGCACGGTTTGGCCGAACGAAAGAGG